GAGAGAGAGAGAGAGAGAGAGAGAGAGAGAGAGAGAGAGAGAGAGAGCCCATTACTCATAGAAGGCTGGGAATAGCATCTGTTTTTCAACAGCTGAAATGAAAAACCTTCTCATTCATTGGGGTTTGGGTTGGTACTAAGTACTAAAGAAGTTCTCACCTCAGTAGTAGATTTAACTAGGTCTACAAGCTGCTGTGGTCCTATCTGAGAGAGTTTGAAAGCAAGACTCTGAAAGATAAAATTGTGTCTAATTAATTCAACACTTTACAAAACAGAGTTCAAAAATATTTATAAGAATGCAAAATTAGCTGTCACTAAAGTAAAATTCACAATATATTCTGCCTAATAAAAAATGACATTTAAAGGAAGCAGAAAAATACAACTCATAATAGAAAAATCAGTTGACTCAGACTGACAGAAATGATAGAATTTATATATAAAAAGATTAAAACAGTTATCATAACTATCCCATGTATTTAAGAAGTTAGAAGAAAGATTAAGCATTTTTTATAAAAGACTTGAAAGGTGAGGATGTGAGTCCAAAACTGAGTTTTCAAAGATAAAAACCAATTATATGAAATTACATAGATATATCTTATCCGAAACTATCGCAGATTAGATATTTTACAAGAAAAGATTAATGAACTTGAAGATACAGCAAGAAAAGCCATCCAAAATTAGAAAAAAGACTGAAATAAAATGAATACATCAGTGCAATATGGGATAATTTGCAAATAATGGACTAACCTGAAAAAGAAGGGGGTGGTTACAGAAAAAAATATTTAAAGAACCACCTGTCACTTTTTTCTAAGTTTGATGTAAATTGTAAACACATATTTTGAAGATGCTCACCAAATTCCTGTGTAAGGCACATTAAAAAAAACACCAAGGCATATTATAATCAAATTAGAACCAGTGATAAAAATAATCTTAAAGCAAACAGTACATAAAACACAGAGAGGAAGAGACAAGTGTGATCATAGATTTTTCATCAGAAGCAATGCAAGTGAGAAGATAGCAGAGCAGCATCTGCAGATAAGTAAAAAAAAAAATCATCAGCCAAAACATGAATTTTTTTTAACCCAGAGAAAATATCTTTCAAAAATGAAAACAAATACTTTTTCAGATACACAAAAATTGGTGTATTTTATCACCTGATGTACAAAAAATATATTTGATCAAATTATGCTATGTGCATGGACAAATCTGGTATCATGAATCCCATTGTTATGAATAATTATAATGCAACAATAAAAATAAATCAAGAAATAGTCCTTAAAGCTAAAAGATACTGATACTAAACAGAATCCCAAATCTATAAAAAGAACTGGAGAGTTACAGAAATTCAAACAGCATGGATAAGTATGAAAACACTTTTTATTATTATATAATTTTTTAAGATGATAATCAATCATATAGAGGGAAAATCACAATGTGTAAAATATAAACTCTGTAATACATAGCCAGAAAGAAAGAAATTGAAGTATCTTATTCTATAGTTCTATACCAAAGTGACACATCATTTGCATGTAGACTGGGATAAGTTGAAGATGTCTATTATAAGCCTGTTAAATTCCCCTTTCTCAATGGGTAAAGATAACAGGAGGTTTTTGTTTTTTAAATAACTGTAAAGAGAACAATTTAGGAGTATTTTTCAGAATTTTAATGGCATGCATAGTTTGATCTAACTCTTGACCCTTCATAAATCTATCTTACAGAGATTTGCAATATGAACACCTTTTTAATAAAGCAATTCCTCTGTAAGCATTTAATCTAATAAGAAATTAGACAATTATCCAGACATGTAGAGAAGATTCTCATTCTAATGTAATTTGTAAAAGAAAAAAAGTAAGCTAAATATCCTTCAAAATATTTAAATAAATTTGATTTAGCCATCAACAGAATACCTGCAGACATTAAAATTATGGTATATAACTATATTTTGATATAGTGAAATATAGCAGTGTGAATAAATCCACAATATATCCTTAAATGAAGAGAGTTTAAATAATATATATAAAATAATCCTCTTTTCTTTTTTTAGTGAAAAATAATAAAGAAACAAATGATGTGTTTTCATGGGTATGCTCAATAGTAAAATATCTAGAAGGATATATAGACAGTTTTCCATAGTAATTTTCTCTAGTTAGTGGAATTTCTAAATTTATTTTGGTATTAGTTTATTGTTGCAAGAAAGATACATTAATTTTATAATAATTGTTAAACTAATGAAGCTATTCCATTTGGGAAAATACCTCTTAAGAGGATTATCCCACTTCTCTTACATATGTATTTTAATTTCTCCTACATCTTTCAATCAAAAATTTCTTCTAATTACAGAGTGTTTCACTTTGGTGAATGAGGAAAACTTTGTTGTTGTTGTTGTTGTTTAATTATTGGTTTTTTATGATTCTTTTAACATGTTTCAGAACACATTTATGCTTTAAAACTTTTTTGTTTATTTCTCTATTTGGTATTTTTGTAAAGTTTTGACTTTGCTACCAGGCTTAATTTGCAAGCTGAATTTTGTTTTACTTTTACTACTTAGGCAATTTTTAGGTGAATTCATATCACTAATTTTTATTTTACATTTGCACTTTATTTTTCTCTATTTGTTCTTTTTAGATATACATGACAGTAGAGTGCATTTTGACATATTCTATATACATGGACATATCACTAATTTTAATGGCACTACATTTAGTGCATATGGATATAGTCTCTGAATAAGACGTAAACCACCATCCCATCAACAAATGATCAGACTGTCACTCTGCCAGGTCATTCTGTGCTAGGTGGGGATCTTGTTTTCTTCAAAACCATCTCCAATAGGAGCATTATCATTGACTTGGATCATACTCTGCCTGGTTTATAGGTTCTCTCTTGGCACGGATGAGACCAAACAGTCTGATGGGGTCATCATGAATGTTTTCCTCTATTGCCTGGCTTTCTGGTGAGAAACTCTCTGCCAAGTTGGTCGTAGAAATGCTGGCATCCACTGCATGTAATTGCTTGTCTTTCTCCTCCTCTGACAAGTGAGCATTCTGTTTTCTGGGCTTCCTACGCTTCCCCTTGAAGCTGTGATCAAGTGAGGCGTAGCACATCTGTGTTTCAGCAGGCACCTAAAGAGAATGGTATGTTGATTCTTCATTGTTAGTCTGTTCATTCACTTTCATAAATTCTGAAATTTGTATGTCTTATGAAAAACAAGTAACTTGGTTTTGGCTTCAGCTACCTAACCCATCAATTAGGATAACAGAACAAAAATCAATAACCAACTCAAAGCTTTTGAGTTGAAAAAGGTGCAAAGTTAACAACTGTTCACCAAAAGAAAACTGTCTTTGATATTTTATGCACTCATGATTTTTATAAAAGCTGTCAAGTTTTGAAGAATGTTTTGATGAATCTTTTCCCTGGATTTTTATTTCTTTCTTATGTCCACTCAAAGTGGACATAACTGTTTTAGATTGACGCTCACCAGTCCCTGTCTCCACCTTTACCTCAGGTGATTCTTACCCTAGTTGTTCTTACCAAGTAAAAATACCTCAGTTTGTTGGGAATAATCATGGTAGAAAGGGATTAAACATATGACAAGTTCTACTTTACATGTGCTTACAAGGTCATTTAATGGTACCCACAAAAGTCCCCATTTTTTCCCTACACTTTAAGATTCATAAGTATCAAGATAACAGCATCCATTTAAGTGACTGATACTTGACAAAGAATTAAATTTCCCATCCTTCCCTGTTATTTCCTTCTTGTGTATCTGTGCCCAAATCCCCTTTGAGTTCATTTTAAGTTGGCCTTGGAGATGTCCATTCACATCTAAGATGTAAGACGGTCTAGTAGTCTCTCTGGCCTAGAGCTAGGTCAGAACTATGACAAAAAGGATAAAATGCTAGAGCAACTTGGAGAAGCAACAAAGCTGAAGCCAGGACCTTTAATTTGGTGTTAGAAAAACCTAGATTTGAATTTCAACACTACAATATACTAATCATGGAAACTCAAGCAACTTTAAAAAAAATCAGTTTTAAAACCTCAGCTTTCTTGCCTTAAAAATAAAAGTAGTAATGTCTGCCTCACAGTTATCAGTTATGATCAGTAGATAAAGATAATATGTATGGAAGCTGTAATTATTGTCCAAAAGTACAATGATATCATAATTATTAGAAGTTCCAGGCTAAAACTTAAGGATAGCCATTGAACCAACCAAAGATTTCTGTATTCAGGGTTTACTTTTAAGAATAGGCCAAAATTATATCAATTTGTGGATGCGGGAGTGAGGAAGTAACATTTGGATTAACAAATGTTAATTCTTGAGTAGATATCTTCCTAATGGTACTCATCTTCATGCTAAGAGTAGGATGTCTTATATTTTCTGTCAGGCAGAAGAGATGGTTCTGCTTACAAACTCTCTGGTTTCTTTGTCAAACTTTCTATTCTTAAAATAAGTGATTTCTAAAAAAAAAAATTGCAACAATTGCCTAAGTGGTATCCTTGCTTTAATCTTTCCCTTCTGCCATTAATCCCATGTACTTTGTTTAAAGTATCTTTGTAAGGCACAACTTTCATTTTATCATCCTATCCCCCAAAATCTTAGCATAAAGACTAAAGTCTGAAATTCATATCCTGCCCTTTAAGGTTTTCTATTTCTATTCCCACTATGCCCAACATAAATTCTGTATTCCAGGAAAACTGGACAATTTACAGTTTCCTGCCATACCTTGTACTGTTATCTGCTTTGTCTTTGCCCAGACAGAAAAGCTATCAGTGAAGTTTGAAAGATATTAGGTAACACAAAAGGATGCCTATCTTTTTTTTTTGGTCTGTCACTTTATTCTATTGTTCTTTCTTTGATAATTTTCTCCCTCTTCTTTTGGTAAAGTCTTCATATCTAGTTTTGGGCAGGCTGTCAATTATAGTGCTATACCTCAAGTTCAGCAAAAGACTAAGCATGTAACCAAGGCTGGACCAATCATCAGTTGCCTCTGATCCCACTAGCAATAGAGGGTATCCCAGGATGGGCATGTGATTTCACCAGATCCAATTAGATAAAATTTTTAGGATTGATATATACATTCAAGGATTGAAAGATGTCTTTTTCCCAGGGTTTAGAAAAACAAATCTGAGCTTTCCAATTACTTGTTCACCCTTAGTCAAAGAGTCTGTTGATAGGAGAAGATAATGAAGCCAGTAACTTCATGAGGAGACATGGAGGTCACCTCCATATTTAATCATCTCAAAACCAAAGTACACCCTTAGATCTCTCAGTCATAGAGAGCAATGGTATTCCTTTTATGCCAAAGTGGTTTGAATTTGGTTTCTGCACTTCAAATAATTTCAAATTTCAAATAATAAATGCATTTCAAATAATACATGTCTGGTCAACACTTGGTCAACTTTATCAAATGCTGTAGAGTTCATAGAATGTGAGTCCTGAGAAAGAACCAAAAATTATATATTTAATAATCACTTGAGGCTTCCATAAGTACTGTTTCAGTTGAGTGTATGGATGGATGACAGGGGTAAAGGAATGTGTACCTACAGAGAAAAATGGAAACAAAAGAGGATGTTAAGAGTCAGTTGAGAAATTAGAGAGAAAACTGGTTAAAACAAGTTTTGTTGTTCTGTTTGTTTTCATTTTAAATATTGAGAATATTTATGCATATTACTAGATAATGAGTGATGATTTATTTTTAAAATGTAAGATGGAGAAGAGTTAAGTACTTGCAGGTATAGAATCCTAAAAGAAAAATGAGAAATGGTCAAGAGCATAAGTGTGAGTATTGAATTTGACAAGGAGAGAGGGTGCCTGACATAGGAAGGAAAGCAGAGGTTGGTTAGAGATGGACATGAAGGCAAAAGGAAAAAGCTCACACTTGTATCCCTCAAATTTTATATGATGTGGGACTCCTGTGGATTCATTTTATTACTAGGTTTCCTGATCAACTCTTTCTAGCTATTGGAGATTGAGGTATTGGAATTATAATCTCTAAACCATATATATCACTTTCAAAGGCTAAGAAGATTATTTACATTTTTTCTAACAAAGAAATATTCTCCCTCAAGTTTTACAATATAAAATTGAAGACTTTTTATACTTCTGTGGTTGACCAAAGTAACAAAGTATGATAAGGCAACCTGAATAGATCATGATTTTTCTTATAAAATGGAATTGAACAAATATAAATATATTACTTCTAATGTGTGAAACTAAATTTGTAAGAGGAATGTGATAGAACAGAGATTAATTTTGTGAGTGGTATATTTAAATATACAATTTATAAAAGAGCACACTTAACAATGTTATATGGCTTTGTGTTATTTCCACTTGAGTGAAAACCAGATGTAGCTCAAAAAAGCTAATTTATACAATTCCTATGTAATAACTTCTATTCAGAATTCTCAGTACTTTACAACTAAAGTCCTGCAAAATCCCTACATTTCAGATGGGATGGTTATATTTTAATCTTCTATGAGAGGTGTCCTTTTATTATCATGGATTTAGCAGATCATATTATATCATGCATATTTTATCTTAAAAATATATTTTACAATTATCTGAACATCAGATGATAGATTTGAAGCCTTTATATTTTTGCCCAACCTCATCACATCTTGATTTCATAATAAAAATTTCAAGAAGTCTGATATCTTAGGGAATTCACATAAATAAAAAAGAGAGAAATTCTACCTTAATGGGAAGTTTCTGAGATGTGACCCATTTGGGGGACAGAATGTTTTCCATTAGACAGGATAGGTTGGATTCTGTTTCCATCCTTAGTACCTTGGTGCCCCAGGACAAGATTTTCACCTTCACAAGCATTGGTAAAGTGGGAATAATAATGCTACTTTCCTCATAGTCATCTAAAGAGATAGTACATATAAAGCACAGAATATCAGGCCTGACACCTAACAATTGCTTAGGAAATGCTGTCCTTTATGCTATTTCAAGGTAGTAAGGAGAAATAATATAATTGAAGAGAACTATTTTAACTGAAATTTATGGTACTTTGGAAACATGAAGGCTAAGACTTCTGAATGATTTTTAATAAGGATTAGTGCTATGTTTGATGAGGTTGAACTGATTGTGACAGGAAAAGGAGAAACTATATATTTTTCCTGAGTTTTTGTTTCTGCTTAAGTTTCTGTCCTGCCTGTCCACACAAACTGTGTGTATATTTCACAATTTCATGCCATAAGAGTGCAGTCAGAGGGCTGGGGATGTAGCTCAGTTGGTAGAGTGCTTGCCTCCCATGCACAAGGCCCTGGGTTCAATCCCTGGCACCACACACACACACACACACACAAAAAAAAAAAGTACAGTCAGAGAATTATATTACAATGTACACACATTTGCCTTTTAAAATAGAGGTATGCTGTTTCATATCCAGCTAAGTTATACTATAGCTTATGTTATTCTCTCTCTTTCTCATGGATTTCTAAGGTCTGGTTCTTGTGAGTTTGTATGAATGTCAGCTTTTACATTTATCTTTGTGCTGCACATGAACTTTTTATTCTGAAAGGAAAATCTTCATGCATTCTTTAGGAATAATCCAGCTTTTACCTTCAAATCTTGCCTTTGTATCTTTACATAAGTTTGACTCTTTGAGTGTGCTTCAGATTATGTTTACTTGCCTCTGATTGCTGTAGAGCTCAGGTCTCAGAACTTGATATTTGATTCATGCTACAAAATTTCCAGCAGACTACTTCCAGCGCATATCAGAATGCAATGCTCTTATGCTCTTGAAACATGCCCATGTGCTTTGACCTAGACTGAACTTGGTTTTTGGTACAGAAAAAGAAAACTCACGTGTGCAGATGGAGCAGCTTCTTGCATATTATTTACAGGTCTCTCTGGTCGGGCTTTCATTTGTTCATAGCAATTTTCATCCATTTCTTCTTGAGAGTTGAAAAGATTGTGATGTACAACAGAAAAGAAGTAAAGAATGTGAGCACAAATAAAAACACACTATTCAGGAGAACATCATGCTAAATGAAATAAACCAGACTCAGAAAAGCAAAGATCAAATGTTTTCTCTCATATGCAGAGGTAAGGATAAAGTAAGTGGAAAAGATGGGGAGTTTGGATATCATACAGATAAAGGGAAAATCAGTGAAGTGGAAGAAGGAGATTGAAAGGGAGGAAGGAGGGACAGGAAAGGGGAGAAAATGCAAAATGAATTTGACAAAATTATATTATGTATAATTATATCACAGTGAATTCTACCTTTGTGTATACCTATAAAGCTTCCATTAAAAATAAATAAATAAATGAAAGGAAAACCAGTAGAGTCGAGAAAGGGGAAACAGAGGAGGGGAGAGAAAGGGGCGGGGGGCACCAGGGACTGAAATGGAGTAAATTAAATTTCATGCATGTATGATTTTGTCAAAATGAACCCAACTATTATGTATAACTATAATGCACTAGCGAAAGAAAAAAAAATACATGACCAAAAAAACATTCAAATGTAAATAAGAAACCCCAAAGAATTACTTAACAATCTTTTTGGTGGAGTTGCAAAGAGGTTAAGGAAACACAAACTGCTACCTGCAGATCAGATAGTGAAGTCTTTTTCTTTTCTTTTTATTTATTTTTATTTTTATTTTTTTTTTTTGTACTAGGGATTGAACCCAGGGATGCTTAACCACTGAACCACATCCCTGCCTTTCTTTATTTTTTATTTTTTGAGACAGGGTCTCACTAAGTTGCTCAGGGCCTTGCCAAGTTACTGACACTGGCTTTAAACTTGTGATCCTCCTGCTTCAGCCTCCAAAGCTGCTGGGATGACAGGTGTTCACCACCATGCCAGGCTGACAGTGAAGTCTTTTGCTTCACAGCATTAATAATGAGACAAATAAAAGTCCTTGGGATAAAAAATGTTTACCATTATAGGATATGACAGTCTCATCTTAAGCTACCATTTAGATGTTATAAAGACCCCATGTGTAAAGGATTACCTGTATTCCTTGTTACTTAGATATAATTGCAAAAGATACATGGTGGCAAAAAGTACAAGTTCATATATATATATATATATATATATATATATATATATTAGTAAGTACAATTCTTTAATTCTATGAGTAAGAATTTTTATTCATAGTCATGAATCAAACATTCTGATTCTGAAAAGAAGCCTTACATTAAGATTTTTATCTCAATAGTCAGTGACAAGATAGCACAGTCACAACCTAAAGGTCCGAGTCTGTACAGTGCTGTTCCTATATATTTGGGACTTCTGTTCAGTGTGTAAAAGCCAGCAGACTTATACTTATTTCATCCTATGAGGATGAGTTTTTTAAATCATCCACATCTTTCTTCTTCCAAATATGTCACTAGATACCCCCACTTAGGATGCACAGTTACCTAACAGAAATATGGACTGCACCAATTTGCCCTCAGAGAAAAAAGATACATTACTATGATAAAAGATATCTAATAATCTTTCAACCCTTTCTGAAAAAGCTAGACGGAAAAATAGTCCAAGGTTCTCAAAACATAGTCGATAAAAAAAATCTGCATCAAAATCATCTGTTGTTAAATAGCAGGTTCATAAACCCAGTCCAGTACATACTTAACTCAGATTATGGGGAAATGACACCTGAGCTTACTTGTGTATGGAAATTACAGGGATGGTCAATAGAATACATGAGAATTTAAATTCTCAAATATTACTAATGGGCACAACAATTCTGCAAAGGGAAGCAAGAGGGCAAATTATTTTTAACAATGTATTTCTGAGTAATAGTTTCTGATTCTTTAGAGTTCAGTGCTTAGAGGACAATTTGCAATTAAAGATATAATTAAGAAAATTCTTGGATCTGATAAAAACCTCACATTTCTAATTTTTGGAGGGTTCCATATTGTTTTGAGTATAGATATTCAGCTACATCTAGTACATTACAGGAAATCTCTGTGTTTGGTCCTTAGAGATGAACAGGAGTTATAACCCCAGAGTCTTCTCTCTTGAATTGAGTGGAGATTGATAGGGAAAGGGCAGTAGCTTTTCTCACCAGTTCTGAGACTAGACCAAGGCTTTCTATTTCAAGGAATCTAGGGTGCTTTGTTTTTTAGGTGGTTATTCAAGGAATAAGGGATGCTGGTAACTGAAGAGCACTTGTTATATAAGAACAAAAATGTATAAATCACCTAGTGATGATTTAGCTGTTCTTTCCCTATCTGCCATCCATCCAGCTCCAGGTTCTCTATTTTAAAAGAACCAGTTAGAACACAGGAATCCAGAGGAAGTATTTATTGTTCCATATTATTTACAGCAGATTTGCTTTTGTTTATAGAGCACAAAGCACTGTTTCTGTAAATCATTTTCTTTTCTAGAAATAACTTTATTTCATGAATTCTCTGTGTGTCAAAATGCATGGTAATAGGATCTTCCTGTATTCTCATTACTACTAGAGTGAAAGAAAGAGAATATAGAAAAGCAGGATGATGATTTACTCTTAGTATCAATGCAATTTATAATAAACACCATTGGAAGCATATACTAAATGATATACTAAATATATTTGAATTTATAGTTACTCCAAGGATTTTTTAAATGTGATTGTGTTTGAAAAATGAGTTTTGTCAAATTCTTTGTAGAATTATGTGGGTCTACTTATTGATAGGTTATGAAAGAATAAAACTTACCTGGGATTATATTATCTAAATTACCGTAAATTGGTGTGTCTTCAATATAATATTCATCAACCCTATAACAAGGAAAAAATTTACATGATTAAAGTCCATTTTATGAATAATTCACTACTAACGTTCCTAACTTAGCCAAAGTCAGTACTGAGTTAAATACTGCATGTTCCTATTCAGCCTCAACCAACCAAGGTAGATGTGTTTATCTGTGAGTGAGCACATCCATGTATGAATGTATGCATGTAAATTTAAATAGTTGAAAATGGGACTTTCTTTTAGGGAATGCTTATTTAGTATTCATTGTGTGTCAGGTGCTACTTGAAGTGCATTTCATTTTTTGTACATTTTATTCTCACAAAAAGTCCAAAAGAAAAGAACCGTGTCCTTCCCATTTTACAGATAAGATACCCTAGGCACACAGAGGTTATAGAACTTGTTCAAGGTCATAAGTCTAATAAATAGAAGAGTTGAGATTAGAACCTATCTGTACTAACTGTATAACCATACTGTCTAATGATATTCTTTCACCTTGAATATCACTCTTAACAGTCCCTTAAGATTATGTTTAATAAGTATGTATTTCAGACTAATTAGATTGGCAGCTGTAATAAAATGATTGATTAGCTATTGCATCTAGATGCTAGGTTAAATGTTTTACATACACCATGTTAAAAACCTATGGAAATTCTGCAAAGACAGTGTTATTATTCCCCACTTTATAGAAGAGAAGACTGAGATTCAAATAAATGAATTTGTTTTCCTTAGTCCTATGTGTAATGTCATCAACAATGACTGATTATGAAAACGGTCCACTTTGCCAGTGCTCATTCAATCCTCGGGACAATCCTACAATATGCATATATTTACTTCTATTGTACATATAAGGAATTTGAAACTCATAGCAGGTAGTTCAATTTCTCAAAGACACATAGTAACTGGCAGTGCTAGGATAGTAATGCAAATTTGATCCTAAAGCCTGTTCTCTGTCCACATCATGAGGAAGACTTGCAGAAGGTGGTACTACTAAACAGCTATAGGAAAACAGTCTAGGAAGTCATACCAGGACCATAGCTTTGTGCGCCTCTAGTCAAGAAAATTGACAAGAACACATGACTATTTGTTCTTGTTCCTTGATTAAGTTTCCTGCCAGCCTCATGTGAGTGATGCTACTATTAAAATAGACATCTTACTATTGTCATCAGACTGTCACTCTACCTATGATATCCTCCCATTGACAACACCCCTAGTAACCAGCTTTCACAATGGCAGGCTGGGAACAGAGGAACGTATCAGGTGGTGAAAAGTGGCATTTCATAAAATAGTACCAAGCGCTTTAACTTGGAGATTACACGTCACTGAGAGCTGGAAGGAATTGCATCAAAAGAAAAGGGAACTCTTGGGGAGGGGAGGGGGGATAGTAGAGGATAGGAAAGACAGCAGAATACAACAGACACTAGTATGGCAATATGTAAATCAATGGATGTGTAACTGATGTGATTCTGCAATCTGTATATGGGGTAAAAATGGGAGCTCATAACCCACTTGAATCAAATTGTGAAATATGATATATCAAGAACTATGTAATGTTTTGAACAGCCAACAATAAAAAATTAAAAAAAAGAAAAGGGAACTCTTATCTTAAGGCCTGACACCTGCATTATTCCCCATGCTTCTAAAAGAAGACACAGTATGTATAAATTGTAAGTATCCTTAAAAAATAGCAGTTCAAAGAATGCCTGCGTGAAATGGTTTCACAGTCCAGGTACTAGCATGTCTTTCACTTAGCTTATAACAGAGGAACTCATCTGTAACCTTTCTTTCCAGCCAGTAATTCAACACAGCTTAATATTAGGATACAGAGTGGTCCCTGCTCAGGTTTTTCAAATTTTTAATAAGATGACCCATCCATTTTCCTAGCCCATATAGATAGCAGACACAACCTGCAAATGATAAATCATGTCCAAAAAATGAATATTGTTTCATTCCCTATGAATGAAAATAAGATGTGATTTATAATGCGGTGCCCTGTGTCTACAGGCAGGTCTCAAATGATTAATCATCTCAAATAAACTATTATTCAGGAGCAGTGCCTAACGAACAAATTTTAAAAATGTATTTTTACTTAAAAATACCAACTAGCTCCAGCTTATTGCAGACATGTAATAAACCTCAACATGTGTTTGGCAGTATTTTATGTGGCAGATTATAGTAATTACTTTTTAAAATAAATTAAGATATCAGCCCACAGCAGAGAGGCTAGTGTACCTCTATCTGAGTTTGGGCCTGAGTTTGGGACTCTCCATTGCTCTGAGAATGACTCAAGTGGCCCTTTCACCAATAAATACATTTACTCGCACACCAAAATTTAAGGATGAATTAATTATATCTTTTACTGTAGCCCAAATTTTGTGTTTTAACAGATTTTTCTCTTTATCTTGTTTTTTAAATTCTTATTTTTAATTTTTTGGTGAAATATCTTTTAATTAGTCAAATACTTTATGATCTATGGGGATTTAAATAATTCATTCAATTTTTTTTAAAAAAAGATCATTACTTCTTTCTAAACGCCCTTGGGCTTCAATTCCTTAAGTTTCAACTGTCTTATTTATAAATCAAGATTATTAAACTAGTTGATTTCTATTCTTTTCAGTTCCGAAATTCTATTATATAAACATAGTCTTCCAAAATCCAAATAAAAATTAAAGACAATTCTACGAAACTAAATAAAATTGGGGCTGGGGATATAGCTCAGTTGGTAGAGTGCTTGCCTTGCATGCACAAGGCCATGGGTTCAATCCTCAGCACCACACACACACACACACACACAAAAAAAAAAAAAAACCTAAGTAAAATTGTTTAAAAGAACTGAGAAATTGTCAAATTGAGGAAAAAGCAAGCTTCAGAATCTTTCAGAAATTTTGGCAAATGCCAACTTGATTTTCTTGACAGACATTTCTTTGAATAGGCAGAGATGTAAGTTTGGGTTCTATTGGCATATGTTTTTGGGAGCCTTGGTGCTGGGAGCCATTAGCCAAGTAGGTATGACAATTTCCTTGCCAGCGTACCCCATGTTGCAGTGACATTGAATGTAGGTGACCTTGCTCAAGGACCAGGGCGGATTAGGGTGTTCCCGGTTTAAGATAATCGGGTTTAGGGCGTTCCCAGTTTAGGTTCCAGGTTTAAGGTTTAAGATTATTCCTGCTGGGAATAGGGCGTATCCTGCTGCCTGAGTTCCCCTTGAGTTCTCACGGGATTCAGACAGTATTTTTTGGGAGACAGAAGCCCAGTGGAGGTGGATTTGGGCAGAGAACGTGGATTTCCCCAGAACGTGTTTGTAGACGGCTGGTGTGAGTTCGGGAATAAAGAGTTGCTGTTTGAATCTACAAGCTGTGTGGTGGCTCGTGATTGTGTGCCCAGCCAGACTGCGGCATTTGTGCCCAGCCATACTGCGGCACCTTGGAGTATGAAATCATTTATGGAATGAGTATGGGTAGGGAAGACATTCACTAGAGGAGTTCAGGAATGTTCTGTTATTTAAGGTCCAGGAACCACAGAAGAAAAAGGAGCTGCCAGAAAGAGAAGAGGAAAATCCAGAGGGCATAGGGTATAATGGCTCACAATCCAGAAAAAGCAAATGTTTCAAGAGAATGTTAGAGTGCCAGATGCTCCTGAGGGATCCAGTAAGATGATATTTGAAACAGTGGAATTCATTGATGTCCTTTGACAGGGGCTGTGGATTAGAGAGGTCCAAAGATTGATTAGAGTAAATTCAAGACAGAAGAGGAAAAGAGGAGGAAGAACTAGAAAAATGTGTACAGAATGGAGATGGAAACTTCAAGGTTTATGTAAATGGTACCAAACAATGGGGAGGTATCTGTGGGACAATCTAGTATAGAGGGAGCATTTTCTATTTGTCTTAAGGTATGGACAATACAGTCATTTATATATTGAGGGGAATGATACAAGAGAGAAAGAAAAAATATTGATGCAGGAGAGAAAATGGGAGTTTAGAGTGATGTGTTCCTGAGCATGTGACTACTGAAGTTTTGTTTTCCCTGGCCGGAACTGTGCCATGGGTATGTGCATCTTGAATTTAGAGTAAAAGGGCACCAGTGATGAAATCTTGATCCAGGAGAACAGTGTCAACTGTTTTGTGTTGGCTGGAGGTTGAGAAGTGAATCCCCTGTGAAGAGACCACTGGACTCTCAGCCTTCATATCTAATACCAAGTTTTCATTCTCTTGATTAGGATTCAAGTTCCTCTCCAAAATGGCCGATTCTTTGGAAGTCTTTTAAACAAAAAAAGAGCTTGCTAGTGCATTAGGGTACTTAGAAAAGAAGGGTCTCTTGCCAGATCTGTGGGGAAAGCAGACTAAAAAGAACTACCAGAATGAAGACTTATAAAGAGACCCTGGAGCAGTGATACTGAGCTGGGCATGGCAAAGGGACAAGGCAGAATAATATTTTTTAGAGCACATAAGGACTTCTTAGGGATTTCCAAAAATACTTATGAAATGGGGGATCCAAGATGGCAGGCCAGAGGGAGGCGGCATTCTGTGTTGCTCTGTGACCTGGGTCTCAACTAGTGGGAATACTGCTTCTCTGAGAGTGATTGAGGACCCCTCAACAGCTGCTCCCTCTCAGGAACTACAGCCCCAGTGCCCGCGTGGGGCTCCAGACTCCAGTCTACTCGCCCATGCAGGTCTCACGGGTGCCTTAGCTGGACCACTAGCATCAGCACCAGTGCAAAATTCCCAGACGCCGTTCCCATGCAGGACACTCAGCCACTACCCACGCACAGGAACTCCAGCTGCCACTCCCGTGTGGACCCCCATCTACCAAAGTGGGGCTCCCCTCGTCACCTCCATATTGGGACTTGGAAGCTACTGCCATAGTCCCCTATGCACATGGTAGCCTGCCTGCACCCGCGGACATCGCCAAGGCTGTGAAGACAGCCAACAGCCACAACTCTACATGCCACAGAGCCCATCTCTGAACATGTCGCACAATGCCATCAAGCAGCTCCGGCCGACCTGACCTGACACCCCTTCACTGAAAGCAGC